GAGCAAGGTGTGGAAGTACTTCGGCTTCGGCACCAACTCGGAGGGATGCATCCTGCCGTGGAAGAAGATCTACTGCCGTATCTGCATGGCCCAGATCGCCTACTCCAGGAACACCTCCAACCTGACCTACCACCTGGAGAAGAACCAGCCGAGGAATTCTGCGAGTTCCTCAAGAGCAACACGGAGCAGATGCGCTAGGCCTTCGCCACCGCCTTCTCCAAGCTCAAGCCCGAGGCGTCCCAGCCGCCCGGGCCTGACGCGCTGGCCGCCAAGGCCGCCCATGGCCACTACAGCAAGAAGCAGCAGGAGCTGACGGCTGCCGTGCTGGGCCTCATCTGCGAGGGGCTGTACCCGGCCTCCATCGTGGACGAGCCCACCTTCAAGGTGCTGCTCAAGATGGCCGACGCCCGCTAGGAGCTCCTCAGCCGCAAGTACATCTCCACCAAGGCCATCCCTGAGAAGTACTGCACCGTCCGCAAGGCGGTCCTCCAGGAGCTGGCTGAGGCCACCTGTTGCAGCATCTCCACGGACATGTGGAGGAGCGAGAACGAGAACCGCACCTACGTGACGCTGGGCGCCCACTTCCTGGACGCGGGTGCCCCCGGGCTGCCTCTCCATGGGCTCGCGCTGCCTCAAGACCTTCGAGGTGCCGGAGGAGAACACGGCGGAGAGCATCACGTGCGTGCTCTACGAGGTCTTCATCGAGTGGGGTATCAGCGCCAAGGTGTTTGGCGCCACCACCAACTACTGCAAAGACATCGTGAAGGCCTGCTCGCTGCTGGACGTCGCGGTGCACATGCCCTGCCTGGGCCAGGCCTTCCACGCCGCCATCCAGCAGGCCTTCCGGCTCCCGAAGCTGGGCGTGCTGCTGGCGCGCTGCCGCAGGCTAGTGGAGTACTTCCAGCAGTCGGCCGTGGCCATGTACATGCTGTACGAGAAGCAGAAGCAGCAGAACGAGCCGCACTGCATGCTGGTCAGCAACCGGGTGTCCTAGAGGGGCAGCACGCTGGCCATGCTGCAGCGCCTCAAGGAGCAGCAGTTCGCCATCGCGGGCGTGCTCGTGGAGAGCAACAGCCACCACCTCATGCTGGAGGCAGGCGAATGGGCCACCATGGACACGCTGATGCAGCTGCTGCAGCCCTTCAAGCAGGTGGCGGAGATGCTGTCGGCCTCCCGGTACCTGACCATCAGCATTGTCAAGCCGCTGCTGCACATGCTCCTGAACACCACGCTCAGCGTCAAGGATACGGATGCCAAGGAGCTCAGCATGGCCAAGGAGGTCATCGCCAAGGAGCTCTCCGAGACCTACCAGGAGGCCCCCGAGATCGACATGTTCCTCATCGTGGCCACCTTCCTGGACCCGCGCTACCAGCTGCTGCCCCTCCTCTCCGCCTTCGAGCAGCAGCAGCTGGAGAACCACGTGCTGGAGGAGGCCAAGGGCCTGCTGGACAAGCTAAAGGACGGCGGCGGGGGCGGCTACCGCCCAGCGGAGAACAAGATACTCCCAGCCGCGGCCCTCGAGGAGCCACCAGTGAAGAAGCTCATGCGCGCGTCCACGCCGCTGCCCACCAGCGTCATCAACAGCATGCTGACGGAGATCTTCTGCCAGACAGGCGGCGTGGAGGACCAGGAGGAGTGGCACGCGCAGGTGCTGGAGGAGCTCAGCAACTTCAAGTCGCAGAAGGTGCTGGGCCTCAACGAGGACCCTCTCAAGTGGTGGTCCGATCGCCTGGCCCTGTTCCCCCTGCTCCCCAAGGTGCTGCAGAAGTACTGGTGCATGGCGGCCACGCGCGAGGCACCTGAACGTCTCTTTGACTCCGCCGCCAACGTGGTCAGCGCCCGAAGCTGAACACAGCGGGCAGCCGCCGCCCCCGTGGTGGTGGGAGGGCTCTATTCTGTAGCATCACCAACCTTCCCTTCACGTTTTTCAAATCATTTGCTTCTCATCACTCACGGGAAGATGCTGGCTGCTCCGGCTCTGTCTTTATTTTCATTTTTAAGCCACTGTTCCCTCCTGAACAGTCGCCTCTTATTCAATGCTCTAAACTTGGACTCTTGTTCACTACACCAGAGAAATAAATTGGTTCCTAATCTAACCGTCAAAAAAAAAAAAAAAGAAGTTTTTGTTTGAGTCTCCTAACTCATTATGCTCTCACTTTAAACCAAAATCATAAAACGTTGTTCTCCCATTTGAATTGTTTTTCTGGAATGTAAACTTCTCAAGATCAGCTCCAATATCTTATCTGGTTAATTTTGTGGCCCATGAGCCATACTGTGTCAGCAAAATGACTAAACGGCCATAAAAATGATATTGGCAAGAAAATTGGGCTGATGAATCATGAGATCGTTGACCAAGAAGTAGTCACAGAGTTCTTCCTTCTTATATGGGGATGTGGATTTCAATCGACTTCCTGGTTCTGTTGTATTATGGTAAAAACACCGAACTCAGGGTCAGAAGACTTGAGTTAAGGTCCCAGACCCACTCTTTACCTGTTATGTGACTTTGGGCAAAACTTAGTCTTCCTAAACTTCACTTTCCTCATCTGTAAAATGGGTTTAACAATACCTGTCATTACAATCATCCATGATTGCACTGTTGGACTCCAGCCTGGCCAACAGAGTGAGACCCTGTCTCTCAAAAAAAAAAAAAAAAAAAAAAAATTAGGCCAAGTGCAGTAGCTCATGCCTCTAATCCCAGCAGTTTGGGAGGCCGGGGCAGGCTGATTACCTGAAGTCAGGAGTTCAAGACCAGCCTGGGCAACATGGTGAAACCCTGTCTCTACTAAAACATACAAAAATGAGCTGGGCATGGTGGCTGGCATCTGTAATCCCAGCTACTTGGGAGGCTGAAACAGGAGAACAGCTCGAACCCAGTAGGCAGAGGTTGCCGTGAGCTGAGATAGCACCACTGCACTCCAGCCTGGGGTGATAGAGCAAGACTCCATCTCAAAAATAATAATAATTAGTTAATTTAAAAACAATGATACCAACCAGGTGCGGTGGCTCACGCCTGTAATCCCAGCACTTTGGGAGGCTGAGGCGGAGGATCATAAGGTCAGGAGTTTGAGATCAGTCTGGCCAACATAGTGAAACCTGTCTCTATTAATAATACAAAAAAAAAAAATAGCTGGGTGTGGTGGCACACGCCTGTAATCCCAGCTACTTGGGAGGCTGAGGCAGGAGAATTGCTTGAACCCAGGAGGCAGAGCTGCAGTGAGCTGAGATCATGCCATTGCACTCCAGCCCAGGCAACAGTGCAAGACTTCTTCCCAAAAAGAAAAAAAAGATACCTGTTAGATAGAGTTGTGGTGAGGCCAGTAAGTTGGTGCAATGCATGTGAAAGGGCTTCATCAATGGCCAAGGGCTTTAAAAATGTAACAGTGGTTATTATACTTGCGCTAGTAAGTCCCCATTATATTCTGGGTGGCTGGTTCTCATCACTCAATGGGTGGCTTTTCTCAGAAGAGATCTTCTATGAATTTAATGTTAACCACCAAACAAGGTACTTGCTTGGGAACAAACAGTCCTCCTGGAATTTTACAGACATCTTTGTTTTGAGAGTTTGGCAAGTGACTAAGCTTGGTTCCAGAGAAAATAGCCCTGGGTGGACCTGCCTGGGGAGCATGTAGGAGAGCTCATGCCTTTCTCATGAGTCAAGTTGCTCTGAACATCCATCCAGAATAACATGTGGAGAGAGGGTGTGAGCTGCCTTTGCTGGGAGCCTGAGAACCGAGGGGAGCCTCTCTGGAATGACAGAAACTTGAAAACCAGCTCTGAAATCCAATAGAATAACCTTGCCAGAGAGTAAGAGCAATTCCTCCCTACGAGGAGCCCTGTGTCAGACCGCCGGGGTGGAGTGTTAGAGAGAGCAGAGGGCATTGCCTCCAAGTTATTAAAGACCAGACTCTACATCCTGGATTTAGAGACATGTTTGCTCATCATTATTCATCTGGCTGAATCCTGCCCCCCTCCTTTTAGAAAGCCAAAGAAATTTCATAACGGAATGAGGCGATTTCATTTTGGCATTGCCGTAGTCTAGTTTGATCATGTTCTTCAGCTGGAAAGTAAGTTACACATTCGTAGAATTATGAGATACTAGAACTTGGAAAGAATTTAGAGAACATCAGTTTGAACCCATGGAAGCTGAGACTCAGAGGTGAAGTGATGTGCCTGTGAGCAAGCAGTGAGCAGAACCAGAATCGAGGAGTCTTCACTCTCAGCGCAGATCACCACTCTGTCCTCCTCCCAGACCAGTGAACCTGGATAATCCAGATGTTTCCATTTATCAGCTGTGGTTCGGAGAGAAAGGGTGGATCTAGGTCAGAAGTACAATCTCCTAAGCAAACAACCTAGCACTGCTGCAGAGGAAATTTATTTTGAAACCTCCTACCATGACAAGCTGCATGACTACCATCATCTGTGTAAAGAAGGTTTAGGTTGTTGTTACACATACTGGAGTTGAATCAAGGACCAAACATGTCCACCCAACCAGTTCTCCTCCTTGTCAAGTCTTCCCCAGATAGGCACTCTCTTATGTGTAATTTCTTCCAAACTATGCCAGAGAGTAAATGAGCTGGGTTAGCAACCAAGACAATGCTCCATATCTCATTAAACTTTCAACATCTGCGGGCCAGGCACACTCCATTTGGTATCTCATTTAATCCTCAGGACAAGCATCTGAGTTCATAACAATTGTAAATTGAACTCAGAGGCTTGTCTGAATTGAGATGCACCTTTGAATGAAGCATTTGCACTTCAAGTTTTGTCAGAGGTTTGTTATAATAATAATAATAATTTACAATTGTTATTATTATTGAACTGAGGAAACTGAGCTGGGGGTTGAATAACTGTCTTCAGATCACACGTCTAGTCAGTGGCAAAGCCATGCTGGGTCCTTCTGTCTTCAGTGGCATCAGGTCCATCACATTGAAAATTAATAAACTTATTTATATGTATAAAAGTATATATACTCTTTGCTAAATCACCACCGTGACTCCATCATGGACACCAGCCAGGTGCAACCTATCAAGCTGGCCAGGGTCATTGAGGTCCTGGGCAGGACTGGCTCTCAGGGACAGTGCACACAGGTGCACCTGGAATTTATGGACGACAAGAGCCGCTCCGTCACCCGCGATGTAAAAGGCCCCATGCGCAAGGGCGACACACTCACCCTGTTGGAGTCACAGTGAGGGGCCCGAAGATTACACTGAGCTTGGCTGCTCGCTGGGTCTTGGATATTGGGTTCCACCACCTGACCGATGGGAATGATGTGTCACGATGTGCTCATTTATTTTATTGTTTGTCTGCCACACAGGAATTGAGATGCACCTTTAAATAAAGCATTTGGGTTTCAAGTTTTAAAAAGACTATATTTGGCCGGGCGTGGTGGCTCACGTCTGTAATCCCAGCACTTTGGGAGGCCGAGCCGGGTGGATCACGAGGTCAAGAGATCGAGACCATCCTGGTCAACATGGTGAAATCCCGTCTCTACTAAAAACACAAAAAATTAGCTGGCCCTGGTGGTGCGTGCCTGTAATCCCAGCTACTCAGGAGGCTGAGGCAGGAGAATTGCCTGAACCCAGGAGGCAGAGGGTGCGGTGAGCCGAGATAGCGCCATTGCACTCCAGCCTGGGTAAACAAGAGCAAAACTCTGTCTCAGAGAGAAAAAAAAGCCTATATTTATTTATTCATTCATTTATGCATAACACACACACACACACACACACACACACACACGTCCATTTCTAAGCAATGCCCTGAAAAAGTTACTGTACTTTGAATACTCAAAAAAAAAAAAAAAAAAAAAAAAGGCCAGGTGTGGTGGCTCACTCCTATAATCCCAGCACTTCAGGAGGCCGAGGTGAGTGGATCACCTGAGGTCAGGAGTTTGAGACCAGCCTGGCTGACATGGTGAAACCCCATCTCTAAAAACAAACAAACAAAAGCATACACACACTCCACTGAGCCTTTCCATTAACCTTCCTACCAACGAGTGCTTCAAACATTGAAATACAATGGAAGAGAAAAGGTAGCAGATTCTCCACTCTGCCGTGCTAGAGTCGCCTCTGGGTTTAAATCCATTTCTAAATCCATTCTGGGTCACACAAATCTGCCCTTTGTGCTCTAGAAAAAAATAGTGTCCAGACTTCAAGCTAGTTTAAGATAATAGTAAGTACTATTTAGTAAGTGATTACTGTGTGTCAGACACTATGCTAAGCCTTTTAAATTAATTACCTCCCAATTAATTACAATTACAGGAAAGAATTACCATTAGTGGTAGCATCCTTTTATTTAGCTGGCTAAATTTCACACAGCCCATGAGAAACAGAGCCAGCTCATTGCCATATGCTGCAATGACACCCAGCTGCAGAGAGGAGCACGGGTGTCAGACACTAAGGTGGGCTTGGGAGCGTGACACTGCAGCCCAGCATCCAGAGGCAGGAGCGCCACCTTCGGCATCCTCTGTCCTTAGTTGTGGAGGTGGGAAGATCCGGTGATTTAAGCTCCAGTAAGAGGTGGCACCATTACTATGCTGACATGTGGCACCTGGTGGAGTTTCAGGTCTTATTCGATGCAACCCTACACAGAGACATGTAGTTTTACTGGTTTACCCCTTGGTAAGAATGGTCAGAAAGTTCAGATTTACATTAAAAAAAAAGTGTTAAGAGGAATGGTCCCATCTTATGGTGGATGAAAGTTTCAGCTCTTTTTCCAACCAGTCTGGGAGACTGGATTTGTTTGTATTACCAGCACGAGTCACAGGTGTAACATAGACTTGTATTGACCTCATTCGATTGCTCAACAGCCTCTTGACTTGTTATCTCATTACCTCTGCACAATGCCTTCCTGGTGCGCAGATAAGTCACTGAGGTCACCATCCCACATGCAGGAGAGTTTTCATTCCACCTCTAGGCTTCCGCTGGGGGTTCTTCTCCCTGCTAATCTCTGTCCTTAGAAGCCTTCCCAACTTTGCTCACTCCTTCCTGGTCTACCTTGGCATTTGGTCAGCAGGCTGTTATTTAGCTCATAAGCATTAAAAATAACCTCTTTTGCATGTTTTATTTCCCCTAATTGAGTCAAGCCTTCCCCAAGACATGTCTGATTTATTTGGTTTCCCACCCATAATACATAGCGTTCTCTTCAGGCATGTCAGGTTGTCAGTATGGCTTTGTTGACTGACTTTTATTTCCTCTGTTGCTATTGTGCTGTATGTGTGTCTATGTTGAGTCTGGGTCTCACTCAGCCACCCAGCTGGCGTGCAGTGGTGTAATAATAACTCACTATAACCTTGAACTCCTGGCCTCAAGTGATTCTTCTCCTCCGGCATAAGGGGAATTTATTTCCTCTGCCCAGCCTTCAACACAAGGGGAATAAATTGCATAAGTGAAAAGGGAGGAGAACAAGCAAAAATCTGGATGTTTCAGCCATCAGGAAAATAAATTTATCTGGGCTTTTTTGTGTGTCTTGATTGTCAATTGTTTTCACCCAGGTATTAAATTACTTTTGCAAACAAAGAGAACTAGGACTCAAGGAAGGCTTCCTGTGTGCTAGGTTACATTATTTTAACTAATCCTCCCAACCACCTTAAATAGCGGTAATTGTTTTCCTCATTGAGAATATTGGGACTCTGGAATATTAAGTAATTTTCCCAAGGCCTTCTATCCAACAAGGGATGGGGCGTGTATTTAAAATTCAGTTTTATTCCAAAGCCTATGATTTTCCACTCAACTACACATCCCCCAGCTTTGCTCCAGGGTTCATTTACCCATCCCTTTCATTCCTTTCCTTTTTATTTGACAGGTTTATCTACAAGTTGCATAACATGGACTCCAGGGAAGCCTGATAATGGCTTCACGGAAAAAGGGAGCAGGGAAGTGGAAAAAAAGAAACAAATGTTCTGAGCTTTGCTGTACGCCAGGCTGTTGTTACTAGATTCTTTATACACGGTCATTTATTTACTCATTTTAATGACCTCATTTTGCAAATATGAAACCTGAGGCTCAGGAAGTCAGTCATATGACTTGCTTAGGGTCCCGCAGCAGCAGGTAAGTGATAGAGTCAAAATCTGGCCCAGGGCTGTCTAACATCAAAGCATAAAAATGGAGTTTCTTAGAAAAACGCCAAGATTCTACTCAACTAGTGGGTAGGTTTTCAGAATCTAGGACTAGAGACCACAATATTGTCAGGCCCCATAGATAACAAGTAAGTCTGAGTGGAGCTTCTGACACTGGGGATATGAGGCATTTGTGATGTGGCTGATGAAAGCCCACAGGGGAAGCACAAGAGGTCACAGGCTAAAACCACACATCCAGCCACCTGTGAAGGTCTGAGAGCTTGTGAATGTGCTGTTCACATATCCTGTGTAGTGACAGGAGACCCCAGAAACCCAGGAGTTTCATCGAAGGAGCATACACTGTGTGTAGACTGTCTCTTAGGGAGAAATTTGTAATCTGTTATTAACCACGCTTTGGGCATAGAGCAATCTGCGTCAACAACACACACAATGTCACAAAAGAAATTATTTTTAGATCAGTGATATTGTGGATAGGGTTGCTTTCTCTGCCCTGCAGTTAACACCGCATATTTCCTCAGGGCCCCGCCTTCCCCTACTGTCAGTAAGTTGACTCTCCCCGTGACTCCAGGGTTAGGCAGGTAGGTGACTGGGCGCAGCCAATCAGAGCCATATGTTCCCAATCATAGTAAAGGGTCCAGATGAGCCTGTGACCCAGTAAGATGCACTGAGACCTTTGCTTGACCTGCTGGTATAGAGGCACTCTCTCTTCTCTTCTGGGTTTGAACTCCACAGGATGTTGGCCTGGAGTTGCTGGTAGCCATTCTACCTCCATGTGGAACTGGAGAATAAACCACCACAGAGAAAAGCAGAAATACACAATGAAGTGGGTCGTGTCCCAGTGACGTTGTTTGACCCCCTGAATCCAGCCTGACCGGGACTTTTCAATTCCCTGAGCTAATACATTCCCCCTTCTTGCTGAAGTCGAGGTGAGTCTATTTTCCTATCATTTACAAGAAAAAGAGTCCTGACACAATGGCTTCTCAAAAATTGTCACTCACCCATGCACCCTGGGAACCTCGGAGTTAATGAGATTCTGATACGACTTACTGTTTCCATGTCTTTGCTTAACTGTCTCTTTCTTAGGAAGGTCTTTCCTGGCGACTGCATTTTAAATTGTGATTCCTTCCAACCCAGTCATCCTAGTCCCCCTCCCCCATTTGTTGTTGTTGCGGTTGTGTTGTGTATGTGTCTATGTTGCGTCTGGGTCTCACTTGGTCACCCAGCTGGCGTGCAGTGGTGCAATCATAGCTCACTGTAACCTTGAACTCCTGGCCTCAAGGGATCTTCTTGCTTCAACTTTCAGAGTAGTTGGTAATCCACCATACACAGCTGATTTTTGAATGTTTTTGTAGAGATGGGGTCTCACTATGTTGCCCTGGCTGGTCTCAAACTCCTGGGTTCGAACAATTCTCCTGCCTCAGCCTCCCAAATTGCTGAGATTACAGGCACAAGCCATTGCACCCCACCCCACTGCCCTTCTTTTTTTCACTTGTCACTATATGATATGCTACTTATTTTACTTGTTTGTTTTATTTTTTATATCCTGTAAGTAAGTCATAAGGGCAGGATTTTTTTTTTTTTTTTTGAGACAGAAACTCGTGTCATGCAGGCTGGAGTGCAGTGCCATGATCTTGGCTCACTGCAACCTCTACCTCCCAGGTTCAAGCAATTCTCATGCCTCAGCCTCCTGAGTAGTTGGGGTTATAGGCTCCTGCCACCATACCTGGCTAATTTTTGTATTTTTGGTAAAGACAGTCTTTTACCATATTGGCCATGGTGGTCTCAAACTCCTGACCTCAGGTAATCCACCTGCCTCGGCCTCCCAAAATGCTGGGATTACAGGCATGAGCCACCGTGCCCAACCTGGAGTTTTTGTTGTTGTTGTTGTTCTATTTTATTCATTGCTATTGACTACATAGAGCCTGGCACATGACAGGAAATTCAATGAGTGAATGAACATTTGGCAAGTAATACATCTAAGGCCTCTCAGAGCCTTTCTGTTCAGACTGACTCGGGTTCAGATCTGAGATCCTCAATTATGGATTGCTTAATGCTGTGCACATCACTTAATCTTATTGAGATTCAATTTCTCACCCCAAAACACAGTGCAATAAG